GCTATGGTTGTAAGCTTGTAGCCACACTTAATTTTGTGAAAATCAAATGAATATTATTTAGTTTGATGGATATTTTATCTATTATAATTTTTTAAATAATTAACTATAATATTTAAAAATATAAATTTATAAATTAATTTTAATTTATTAAATAATAAATATTAATTTTTTTATTTATTATCATCTACTTTTAATAATTAAATAAAATAAAATTTATATTTCTTAAAATATTATTGCGCAACCTTAACAAAAATAATTTGTGGCACGGGCACACGCAAAGGCGTCAGCCCTTCCGAGTTCCAACACAACGCAACTTCCTTATATTATTTTTCGAGGAAGATGGAAACCATAGACCGTCTATGATAGACGGGTTTTGACCACCTATGTTTGAAAATGACTTATTTTAAGTTACGACTTGACTTTCGTGCATTCCTTACTTTTTCTACCCAAAATTTTATATGCATTTGGTCTTCTCAATGGACTAGTCCATCGCATCCACACTAGAGATCATAAAATGTCTCCAACAAAAGTATTTCTACGCACAACCAACACTAGAAAAACAAAGGTCAAAACATTAATTTGATCCCTTGAGGTTTAGATTTATATTGAAATTATTTTTGAATTTTAAAAAATATTAAAATTATCTCTAAACTTTAATTTTTGATAACAAAATAATCCTTATATTAATGAAAATAACACTTGACTTGTTATTTTATTATAAAATCAATTTTTTAAAAAAATATTAATGACATGTAAAATTCAATAAAGTTGAGGGATAAAAAGGTGAAATTGAATGAAGTTGAGGGACAAAAAAGTGAAACTCAATGAAGTTGAGGGACCAAAATTAGAATTTAACCAATTTTTTCAAGTGGCGGGTGTGAAATGTGACGGAACATTAACGGAATAATAGGAGATTTAACGGAAGTTAGTTTTCCTTCCAATTGGGTCCTTATTTGAGAATTTCATGGAGTTCGGGACTTTCATTGAGCGCAATCAAAGTTTAGGTCCGAAATTGCGAATTTGGTGTAAGTTCGGGTCCTTATGTCATATTTTTGCCATTAAATAATCATATTTTATTATTGTAACATATTTTTAGCTACATGTTAAATTAATATGTAATTAAGGTCGAATGATTAAATTAATACTTATAATTGAAGTTTAAAGTCTAAATTAGTATTTATTTTCAAAGTTAAAAAACTAAGTTGGTACTAAATTAAAGTTCTAAAATTATTTTCATATCGAAAATTAAACTTTAAAAATAATTTTCTTACTTTTTGAAGTCTAAAAATAATTTCAATACAAATATGAAAGTTGAAAGACTAAATTGATATTTTAACGAAAAAAAAAAATCTTGTGATATATTAACATAAAATTACACACAGGAAACCGAAAAAAAGAAGGGAAAAACGAAAATGAGAGCGAATCTACACCATGTCAATGGAAGTGCAAACTACCCCATCCATTTGACTTCGTTTGGGAATGCACTTCAAGTGCTCTATTGTTTAATTTTTTGTCTTTTCATTATCATAAAAATATATAAAATATTAATTAAAATAAATATTAAATATATTTTAATGATATTAAAAGGCCAAAAAAACCTACTGCTACAACTACAACCAACACAACATTCTCAAACGAAGCCTAATACATTGTCAACAAATCATCTACCCTCATCCATAGAAGAATGCGAGATGGAATTTCTAGAATAATCCTCAGCAAAACTATTGCCACCAGAAACCCTTGCAACACCAGTGCTCGTAGTGCTGGCATTAGTATTAGAGAAGGGTGAAGTAGAGGTGGTTGTCCACTGTGCGGTACGTCCTTGAATTCCAGGTTTTCCAGGTCTGGGCAACGTAAATGAATCACTCGAAAGCATGAGACGAACAGAGTTCATGTCGGGCCTATCTGCAATGTTCTGTTGACAACATAACAAGCCTAGCTGAATGCACATTGCTGCCTCATCGCGGTTGTACTTCTCAAGGGTTGGGTCAATCAAATCTAATGCTTTTCCTCTTTGATAGAGAGTCCAGGCCTGCATAAGAAAGAAAAAGAATGAACACACGAGATTGAACAGAAGTTAATTTGTCATAATTCCAAAGTCTTGTTTTACTTTGCTTAACGGACAGAAGAGAAGCCAATTCATTTAGGACAACATATGCTAAAATATAAGTTCTTCAGCAATCAGCTATAGTTACTATAAAGTTAAGTGCAAGACTATTGACTTTGTCAACTTAAAAGCAGTAAAGCATCAAAGCATTGGCAAAGTTTTGGAGTCCCTCTAAGAGACCCTGGATAATGATTGCCAATTGCTTAAATTTCAAGAAAATTTGAAATATGTCATAGAACAAGAAAGAATAATATTTGGGAAGCATAAAGTACTGAGTTAAGGAAGGTCCAAGAACCGTTAATTGTAAACTATAGTTATTTTGGAGCCATGAATATAAAAGAAATCTAAAGGATAGGCTAAATGCAAATAAATTTTTATCTTCAACTTTTGCTGTTATATGCAAGATTAAACAACAGTAACAAAATCCATATTCCAAGAAGGCTATGCGTACTAAGAAGAATAAGGATGGATTGCAGTGTCAAAGATTGATGGTTCATGTTCATGGTTCTTTGGATAGGATTGTTATTATAAGTCTCAGAAACTAAACTTACATAGTTCAAGAGGTCTGCCTTTTCTGCACCAAGACGACCATCAAAGTTCCTTCTCCCACTTACTATCTCCAATACCAAGACTCCATAGCTGAAAACATCTGTCTTCACTGACAAATAGCCATGCATGGCATATTCAGGGGCCATGTAACCACTGCAGTCAATAGAACCCTCTTTTACTATTCTTTTGCCCAGTAAATAATAAGTAGTCCAGAAAAAAACTTGAAACAATATGGCTAGTGTTCCTTGACATTGCAAGGACAACTAAACAAGAATAAGATAGAAAGAGATGTAAAGAAACAACTTACTGAGTACCAGATATCTTAAATGTATTCACATGTGTGTCATCCCCAGGGAAGAGCCGTGCCAAGCCAAAATCTGAGATTTTTGGATTCAATTGTTGATCCAGCAAAATATTACTGGCTTTGATGTCTCTGTGGATGATCCTTACAGGGGCCTCTTCATGTAGGTAGAGAAGACCCCTTGCAACACCAGCGACTATTTGAAATCTTGTTGTCCAATTGAGGGTTGCAGATTTAACCTTATCTGAAAATTTCCATGACAACCATTAATCTAAACATCTTTTTGGATTTCAGATGGTAAAATCCCCTCAGCTACCCCTACCCATATAAAACCCAGATAGATGCACAGTGGTTTTGCCACTAATGCATTTATATTTCATTGATAGATAGAAAAGGAAAAATATAGTGGTTTTTACCAAAGAGAAAGTAATCAAGGCTTTTATTTGGAAGAAACTCATAAACAAGCATCTTCTCGGATCCTTCAATACAACAACCGAGCAATGTAACCAGGTTCTTGTGCTGAATTTTCAGTAGAAGTTTCACCTCATTGGTGAATTCTTTCAATCCTTGTCTTGAATTCAGTGAAAGCTTCTTCACAGCTATTTCTTGACCATTTGGCATCAAACCCTGCAAGAATATGTACACATAATAATGATTTCTCAAGATTTTCCCCAAAAAAATGCCAACCTTTTCTCCTCTCAAGCCAGAGAAAAGCAAACTTGTCAATTACACAACAGCAAAATCAAGACTACTAAAATTACACATAAAACCACAATTCATAAATAAGTTAAGAGAACAACATGATACCTCCAGTAGTCAATGTGAATTGAGCTACCCTCCAATTTTCTGCCAAAAATAATAGAAACTAATGCACCCCATATATACAATTCAGGTAATCAATCACCAAAAAAAGCTGTTGGTAGCATAATTAGAGCTTTCTAATGGGTCTCTAAATTTTTTAACTCCATTCCATTGATCCATTCTAATTCTATGTTTGAGTTCGAAAATCAATTGATGCACAAAAACAGGATTCAGTGAAAAACCATCACCCACTACATATATTACCAAGAAAATAAAAATATCAAACAAGAAACAAGAAGCATTCCTTTTACGGGATTTACTGGCCAAAGAAAAAAAAAAAAGCAGGGCTAGTACAGTAAATTACTAGAAACTCATTTCCATTTTCCATACCTAACCTAACAACTCCTGGACACGTTTCCTAAACTGACCCTAAGAGACAAGTAAATTTGCCGAACATACCTTAAAAACAGGGCCGAAGCCGCCATGGCCGAGCTGGTTAAGCTCGGAGAAGAAATTGGTGGCTATTTGGAGAATACGAAGCTCGAAGAAGAGGCTCGGAGTGTCGTCCTCGCCGTCTTCGGCTGCGTCTACACCACTTGATCCCGCTCGGCTGGCTTTGAACCCCTCGAGGCAGGCGAAGAATTTGGATAAAAAGGTCATCAAGAAGTTACCCAGGCAAACCTGAATATCGCAGACCGGGACACAGCTTCGGTTGATGACCGCACAGGGCAGGTGAGCGACCATTAATAAACAGAAGTTGCTAGAAAGTGTAAAGGCTTTCCCTTGGACGGAAGAGAGGAAGAGTAGTTTTCGATTTCCAGATCTCAGAGAGCCTACATTGAAAAATCTTTTATAAATAAAGATGCGGCTCTTAATAATTTTTCAACTTAATTATTTTTTAATAAAATTATAAAAATATTATAAAAATAACAACCTTAAGTAGTAATAAAAAAAAAATTATAGTTAAAACATATACATTTTTTTAGTAAAATTTTATTTATATAAAATCTCATTTTTAAGGGACTTATTATTTAGAACATAATTATAGCCACATGTAAAAATAGTATAATTACACAAATTTTAAAATACTATATTTAAAAATATTAATTTAATTTAATTATTAAATTATCAGTAATTATAATTATTTGTTAATAAATAATACAACAATTAATATTTATTAATTAATAAATTAAAATTAATTTACAAATTAATATTTCCAACACTATAACTAATTATTTAAAAAGAAAAAATTTAAATTTATGTGATCTTAATAATTTTATATGGACAATAATCATACCTATATATTTTTTTATAATTTTTAAAATTTTATTTTTGAAAAAATTGAATTAGTTGGCGTTTCATGTTCTTTTTAGTCAATTTGTATAAAATAAATGCAATTTCACCATTAAAATTATTAAAATTACTTCAATTGATATGAATTAAGATTTTTTTTTTTTTTATGTATTAGTACTCCTTACATGAGGACAAAAGAAAAAGGGTACACCATATTATCATACAACCCAAATTTTAATTTTTGTTATATTCTCTCAAGTTTTAAAATAAAATATCATAATGCTGACCACGTAAACATCAAAAATGAAAAAATAATGCTAACCACCTAAGAAGTTCAAGTAAAAGATTTTAATTTGAATGATATGACGGTACGGTGGCATTAGCTAAGAAATGATATAATGTTACATTTTAATATCAAAAGTTAAATCCATTAATAAGTAATGTTGTTGCGTAGATTAAGTTTAAAATTTAAGTTTTAGGGTTAGTGTTTAAGAAAATTATTTTTTTTTAAATGCATCAAGCTAATGTAGAAGTGTATTTTTAAATCGTACAAAAAATATTAGTCTCGAAATATGTAGAATTAACATCAGCACTCCTTGACCATAAATATATATAAAAAAAATGTTGCATTTTAAGTGCAAATCCTAAATAAATAACAACAACAATAATAATAATAATTACCCCCTGCATTCAACAATAAATTAACATTTTTAAATTTTCATTTAATATGATTGTAATTTTAAAATTTTAAAATTTTGCATTTTTAAACAAAAAGGTCGTTTACTTTAATTTTTTTTTCAACATATTCTTATGATTACTAGAGAATAAAAGTAAAAATAATTATAATACTATTAAACACGTTTATATTTTTTGTTATTTATGTTAAAATTCATCTTAAACAAATTATTAGTTTTTTATTTTAGTTTTAGTTTGTAATAGTTGCAAAATTTAGAAAATTATTTTTCATCATTCCAATGTTGAAGATATAAAATAAAAGTGAAAATTATAACTTTTTGATATCTAAAATATCAAAATTACTTGTTAAATTATTCATATGCATTTAATTTTTTAAGTATATCTAATTATGAACTATATATCCCTCTTCTATTCCCAAATCAATCTGAACTCGACTTAAAAGTTGAACTTAAGATCTTTAATTTGAAATTTTAAATTTTTGACCATTGAATCATTCAATTTAAGTTTTATATGCATTTAATAAAATTTTCTACATGTTAATTTATTAAAGCTATTTAAGTTCTTTTCTATTATTATTTTTAACATTTTAATTATTATGATATCTAAATTTTTAGATTCAAAAAAATGTCAACAAAAAATTTATAAAAGGTTTTCACCGAAAAAAAAATTTATGGAAGGTGCGTAGGATAACCCTCGAGAAAGATAGGAAAAATATCCTTGAATTGAATTAATTAAGCAAGTAGCAGGTCAACCTTACTTGCTCAGCTATTAAAAGTGTGGGGACGGCCTGCATGGGTCATTTGCGCGGCAAGTCCCATGCCTTTGAGCTGTTTCGGGGTCTACCTAGGAAAGGATGGAAAAGCACTACGTACGGTACAGGCAGGGAAAAAGCGAATGTTCGACGATACAGTCACGATAGAGTGGGGAAAGAATCCAATCTTATTAATTTTTTTTTTTCAACCCTTTTCCGTCGCAGGTAAGAATTTCACAGGATGATGATGATGGGACAAGCATTTTTAAAATGAAATAGATGAAGACAAATTCTACATTGATGGCATTCTCTTATTATATTTTATTGGTGATCACTGTAGTTTAATAGGATTGTTTGTGAATTACATTCTTAATTAATGGTTAAATTTTATAAAAAAATAAAGTATTAACTTTTAACTTTTAATTCTTAATCATTATTCTTGTCAAAAAAAAATTTTACATTGATGGCAAAGAATAAAAAAAATAAATGAACATCGCGCGTATGGAATGCTACTTTCTTGATAGTAATTCGTAAATGATTTATTAAGTTTTTAATTTTGTAATGTAATGCAATTTAAAATTATTAGAAAAGGAGATAATTCTTAAAATTAAGAGTTAAAAAATAATTAATAAACCTTTTAATTTAATAGACATTATAATACTTTTTAATTTTGTCATCAAAATTTGTATGTAATTTTTTATTTTTTATTTTTTATTTAAATTTAAAAATAATAATTTGTCAATGAATTCATTGTAATATATTTTAAATTAGAAAATGTATCAAGTATATTGAAAATTTACAATAAATTGACTAACCCACTAGTACTCTCGTTCATGTTCTTAAGAATTTGTAATAATCAAATGGTTTTGTTGATAATATAGGAACAACCAACCAAACTTTATTTGGGGAAAAATTAGCCACCATAAAATGATTTTTTAACAAATAAAATACTTATTAATATAAATGACACATAATACTATTTAACAAATGTGTGTAAATACAATATTTTTTTCTTATGACTAAAGAGTATTTGAATTATATATAAATTAAAAATATGTATATAATTTTTTAATATCATGATATATATTACATAAAAGAGACACAACTAGAAAAAAAAAATTTTTATCAGCAAACAAAACAAATTTTATTAACGAAGCAGAAGGGTACTCATGCGTGTTGACAGCTGGTATCCATACAAGTGAAGGACGTTGAACTTTGTTTACATCCTCTGACATTTTATATCAGTACAAGTACATTACCCAGAAATTCTTGTTGGGGCACGACCACACATCGGGCTGTCTAGTCATTCACGTCCAAGTCATGAAACCTATAAAAGTTTGTGCCAAATTTTAAATAATTTTTTAATATAAAATCATACATCATACAAGGTTAAATGCTAAATTTAGTCCCTCAACTTTAGTGAGTTGCATATTTTTGGTCCTTCAACAATTTTTTACATTTTTTTGATCCCTCAACTTTAAAAAATGCATAGTTTTGATCATTCCGTCAGTTAAGTGTGATGTGATAGTTAAATAGTTTCACGTGGCATTATCTTTTAATTTTTTTGATAATGTGGCAATAATATATATTATAATTATATTATATAAATAAATAAAAATCCCACATAATTTAATAATTATATTTTAATTAAAAACAAATACAATTACCTTATTATCCTCACCCTCCCAAACCCTCTTCTTCCCCTTCCTTCTTTCTTTCTCTTTCTTTCTTTCCTATGAACCTAGCAAACGAAACCCAGCCTTTCTCACCTTCCCAATCCCTCTTCTTCCCCTTTTTTCTTTCTCTTTCTTTCTTTCCTACCCTAGGTCGGTGGAAAGCTGGGTTCATCGGAACCCAGCAGATCTGGGTTTTGAGAACCTAAAATGCTTAGCCAATTCCATGGATCTAACCAAAAAAACCCTTCTTCTTCCAAATTTTCAATCTTCCCATTCATTACCCGTGAGCCCTTCATCTCCTAATTCTTTCCATTCTACCCACGAAGAATCTATAATCACTCACAAATCTAGTTCGGGTAATTGTTCTCGGATCGTCGATTTACAATTTAATTGCATTTTTTATTGGAATTTGATTAGAGTTTGATTGTATTTTTGTTGGAATTTGATTAGAGTTTGATTGATATTATTTATTGAAAGGTTAATTTGATTTGATAACATCTGCTAGGTTTGAGACTCCAATGAAACCCAGTAGCTGGGTTCAATGACAGGGAATTTCAAATTCTCTGGTTCATAGATATATTATTTTGTAAGGACTCACCCCACTAGCAGTAGAGGCAACCCAACTCAAATTAGATTGATTTCGCAAAGAGAGATTGATTTTGCAAAGAGTGAAGGTGAGAGACCATTTTAGGGTTCACAGATCTTATTGGTGGTTTGCAAGCAACGTGAAAGCCATTGAAGGGTCTTTAGTGCAGGAAGAAGATGACATGTCATAAAAAAAAATCCATATCAGCATGTTTTAAAGTTGTCCTTACCATGTCATAAAAAAAAAAAATGCCACGTGGCCGAGTTAACGGCTCAAATTGACAGAAGGACAAACGTTTTGCATTTCTTAGAGTTGAGGGATCAAAAAAGTGCAAAAAATTGTTGAGGGACCAAAAATGTGCAACTCATTAAAGTTGAGGGACCAAATTCAGCATTTAACCATCATAAAATGTTTGTATTCATATGATTGGTTTGTATGTATATAAATTATGTAAATGATTTGAAATAAATATTAAAATAAGTTGATTCATATCTTTTGAATTTAATGGTTTATCGTTAAGTTTGAATACTTGATTTTAGTTAGTTGATCTACTAATCGGAAAATCCTTCCATTCCCTCCCTCCCATAATTCCTTATGTTAAAAAAAAATACTAAATTAAGTTGTAAACGTCATCTTTCTCTTATAAAAAATTTTTCATATTAAGTTTGAGAAATATGAGTTTGAGTCCCATCCCTAATGTTTAAAATATATATATTAAATTAAATATGAATTAGAGATTTATTTTGATCATAGATTAAAAGGTTCAAACTAAAAATTTTTAATTTTCATATATGATTTACATAAACAAATGCATTCAATTTAAG